GGTATGCAAGCAACTTGACAACCTATTTTCCCATCTTTCAAAATCTCCGAAGACTCCACAGAAAAACAAGGGAAAAAATTTAACCAAATAATGTTACCTTATTATTCAGTTACCTTATACAAAAAAGCTCAAAAGCTACGTATGTATGATCATATAAGACATGCGAAGTGAAATGAACCCCAAGATACGGACACAAGAGGTTTTTCTTTGCTGTTGTCGTTTTCGATTTACTATGTGCTTTTTTTTTTTGTTTCTTTCGTATGTTCTTCCTCCTGTTGTCACTGTATTTGATTTTGGTACCCTGCATCGTGTATATATATATTACATATATATATATATATATATAAAATCTAATTTGGGAAGGGAAGGGGAATAACAAAATACTGAAACAAGGACACAGAATGACCCATTGCAACAATGATACTCACAAGATACTATGTTAGAAAATGATCTTTACAACTTAGGGGTGGGGTGGGGCGTGGGGGGGGGGAGGAATGGGAGGGGAGTGAGGGAAGGAAGGGAAGGGATAGTAGGAAAAAACAAAGGAGGGGGCAAAAATGTTTGATGAGAAATGTACTCATTACCTTACTCATGTAACTGTAACCCCTATGTACAGCATCTAAATTTTTAAAAGCTCAAAAAAAAAAAAAACCAAAATTCAAAGTTTAAGAAAATAATCACCAAGGCTTTCGTTGGCATCTTCTTCTTCTGGATAGCCAGCATTTCTTTATACTATTCATTAGGTCTTATGCTACAGGGTTTTTTCACAACCCTCACTTGTCTAAAGTCACACCATTCAGAAAAGAAGGAAGGCAGGATCAGAGTCTAGGCACAGTGACTAGAAGTCTGTATCAATGTCACCCTTTCCATATTTAAATTACCGCAGAGCAGAACTTGGTGGGCAGGTTAAGAAATCTCTAAAGACAAAACAGCCTGCAACCTAAATAAAATAATGACACTGTAAGAAAAATGTTGCCAATTCCTGCTTTTGAAATTTTATAGTAACTTTGGTCTGGCAAAAGAACTTTATGAAAGTGAAGGTTTCTTTCTCCTTCCACTTAAAAAAATAGTCCTAAGCACTAACCAATTCTCTATTTCCTATTTTCCCTATCTCAGTAATACATATCTCTAACTCAAGATATTTATAAAGTGAAAAATGTTATAGTGGTTATCAGAAGGAAATGAATCTTTCCACTATGGATTATTTAACTGTCTCCAAACCAGAAATACTGTATTGTATTTCACTACTGGACAATTTCTACAAATATTTTTGAGATAAGAACAGCTATTATCAACAATTAACAGCATCACAATTTCTATGACATTTCTTTTGTAATAAATGGTTACTTAAAAACAGTGAAGTACATGCATATGTAAATATTAAATAATAAAAGTACTGTTTATTGGGTGACATAAAAGTATAGTATGCATATTATTATTATGAAGTAAAATAAGGCTGTTTTGCCATTCTACTTTTCTCCATAGACACAATCGCTACTTCTCCTTTTATACAGCTTCCCAGCTATCAAGTTGTAGGACACAAGTGGTTTGGCAAAGAATCTGTCTACCTATAGATGCTAGTTGTTAGCTGCTCAAGATACTTAAGAAACATAAATCCTATAAACAAAGTGCTTTAGATCAAACAAAGAATATCAATTACATGAAGTACTCTTACAGTCATTTTTGTACTTGCCACACATGAAGGTAAAGAACAATTCACAGGTAATCAGAACCAATACTTGTTAGCATGAAATTTTTTTTTTTAAATTAGCCTTTCTTCTACTGAGTTAAAGTAATCAACTATTATTGCTACAAGTTCATCCCTATCTGAGGACAGAGGAATAAATAGCAAGAATGCAAGTCAAATTAAGTAGTGTTTTATATGGCAAGTGTTCTAAGTATTGATATGCATGCAATTATTGGAACAAAAATAGTTATGAAAGGCTTCATGAAGTAACCAGAGGTCTGTGTTATGAAAATGAGTGCAAATTAGGCAGGTGGAGGAAAAAGGAAGGAGGTATTTCAGCTTGGAGATATAAAATAAAAACCAGAATAACACCATATTACCATTTAATAATTATATACAATGTATTTTTCTGATTTGGGCCTTTAAAAAGTCCTTCAAATATTTTCTTTAAGTTATAAATATGCTTGTTACCCTAAAATAGCTATATTCCTTACTTCAATAAGATGTCCATGACCAAACAGAAGTATGACAGAGTAATAGCACAGATAATAAAATGTCTCACTTAGAAAATTAACTTTCACTAGAAATCCATAAGCACACAGAATCTAGAAAAGAGGATATACTTAGTGGTTTTGTCCCTATATATGTATATGGCTGATATACAGAAATCAGCTGATTAACTTATCAAATGAGTCTGTTAAATCACTATAATAGGCTTGCAACTCCATTCCCAATTTGTCTTTAGGAACACTGAAGTTCTTCATGTCTCAGGGACATTATTAAATGCACATCAAGGGATATTTCTAAATTTTCTCTAATGGACACAAATTTTGAAACTTTTGATTAATAAAGCATTTATTACCCAATAGTTTTACTGAATGTCAATCATACCTCAATAAAATGGTAAAGTTAGGCTAAAAAAGTGGTTTTATTTTTTTCCACACTTTTCAATAACTGAACACATGTCAGAAATTTTGATCAACATAGGACAAAACAAAAAGTGTCCATAAACTACATACAAATCCAAGTAGAACCAAATAGCTTGATTACTTAGCCTGTGCAGCAGTCTATGGAAGTAGATCTTTCTGAAGACTGAAGACCTCTGTTACAACCTTCCCAGACACCTAAAAGTCTAGTGAGCCCCGGTTAGGAACCACTGGTAACCAGTTCATCATACCGTTCATTCTGTCTGACTCAAGTCAAACTATCTGACATCAGTGCTGTTCTCTACTTCAGCTACTTTCCCTTCAGTTGACTTTGAATGGTCCTAACTGTTATTCTATTTGCCAAGACTTCTACCGCTGTGTGTTCTACTAGAAAGGACAAATCTTTAAGTTGTAGAAATGTTTTCCAACCATTACTACGTAAAAAAAAAAGTCTGGTTTATCTGCATTTACTTTTAGAATTCTAATAGAAATGTAGCCAGAAACCCTGTCATAAACCTGATATTCACAAAATTTAAGTATGATAGCTTCAAATCCTAAATACAATTTTAAATCTGGGGTTCTCAGATACCAGAGGGAACCAATCAGAAGGTTACCATTCTGAATGCCATCCTACCACTTCAGCTTATCACCTCCATTTGATGTTCGGTTTCAAAAGGCTGCTACTATACTAAGGTCTCTTTTTGCATGCTTACACTCAATTGTTGATTTGAGGGAAGTCATTTTCTCTTGTCTGAGTAGTCCATTATTTCAAGCATCACAGGCAACAATCAAGATTTGGAAACACATGCTACATATCAGTAGAATTTAAAACCACCCACTGAGACTGAAGATACATACTTACATAGCAAAATCTCATATTAATGTTTCCTAAGATTTAACTTAGCATGTATCATTACAAGCAGTTTAGTTCCAACTCTAGATTCAGCTATACAATGAATACGCAGAAACAAATAATCCATTAGTTTTCAGCAGACAAAACTATCACTACAACCAAAAACTGTCACTCAAAGAACCACACCACCATAGGTATAATGAAAGTTCCTTCTCTTTAGTTAGATTAGCTCATTTCTCCACATTAACTTTTCTATTTAATTCACCTTAGGTCAAAATAAAACTGACCATGTTAGGCTAACTTTAATTCCCTTCTTCCCCCACAGCAGTCAGTGTTCTTTGGTAAATGCAAAAAAGTCAAAAAAGATCAAGTTAAAAGGCAAATATACACACACATTTTGAAGTTTTAGCCAAAAGATAGTTAAAAGGTGAAGGAAAAATTGAAAAATAATTAAAATTTGGTATATCAGTTAGGGTAAGAGTCAGAAACAAATACATAATTTTATTCCTTCTTTCCTGCTCTCCAAATGAACACAAAATTATTTCCACTCAGTAAAAAGCTATATATTTCATGTTAAGTTTTAAAGGTCATAATCCATGTCTATGTAGATATTTATTATTATTATTATTATTATTATTATTTTGTGCCTGTCCAGGGGCTTGAACTCAGAGCTTGGGGGCTGTGCCTTTGCTTTGTAGCTCAAAGCTATAAATACAACTTGAGCTACAGCTCTAATGCCAGGTTTTTTTGATGCTTAATTGAAAAGTCCCACAGATTTTTCTGCCCAGGTTGGCTTTGAACCGTGATCCTCACATCTTAGCCTTCTGATTAGCTAGGATTACAGGTACAAGCCATGGGTACTCAGCTTGGATATTATTTGAGCCACAGCTCTTTTTAACATTCCAAAAGACTGAAAAAATAAAAAAAATAAATTAAAAAACTAAGAAATTATCAGACAAACAGGATTACAAATGTACAATAATACATGCTGTTTTACCTGAGTAACTCTATAACTTTCACATGTAATTCTTCCCTAATTTTAAAGTGCATTAAAAAATTCAGATAGTATCAGAACTGATATATTTTCTATGGTTCCATACCTAATTTTGTGGATTCTCAATGAGATTTGATTTCTTCTCTATTGGCTCTTGTTCTACTCTCTTGAATACTTTCCTAAAGTAAAACTGAATTAGATTATGTTCTGTATAAAAGATGTTCTGCATGTTGTGACCCATCTTTTAAATTCACATACACATGAGTATATGAAGTCCCAAGGAAAAGAAAGAAAAGTCACTTGTTTTACCTACATGCTCTTTTCTTGGACCAAACTTGATCCATTAATTCACAGAACACATATGAAGGAAATTATTTTCCATAACTGTTCCACAAGTACCATATAACACTTTGAATTCTGCAATAAGATTTGTAGAAAACTTGTTCCTGTGTTACCATTTACAAACCTTTCAAATAAACAGTAAAAACTTTCAAAAATCTCCCAAGACTAACCGTGAGATGAATTCTGTTTTACACTTACCTTCCTATAATGCTTGTCACCACTTTCGGATCCATGATCTGTTGCTCTAAATGCTGTCTCTCCAGGTGAACCTTGAAAAGAAATGAATCCTTTAAATTCTCCAGTGTTGTCAATAGCTTGAATTCCAAATCATATCTAACCAATTAAAGAAAAAATAGGGAGAAGGAGGTAGAGAAGGGATAAAGTTGTAGTTTAGTGGTGGAGTGCTGTATGTTGGAACCTGGGGTAAAATCTCTGGCATGGCAAAAAAAGCAAACCAAGACAAAAAGGTGTGGTGGTACACACCAGAAACCATAGCACCTGGAAGGCTGCAGCAAAAGGATAGAGCTCCAGGCCAGCCTGGGCAATATAAAGGCCCTGACTCAAAAAGAGACTATAAATGAATTCCAGAGCAACTTAAGTTCAAAGCATCAAATCACTTTTTATCTTAATATTACTAGCAACTTATTTACAAAGCTGTTTTTTTTAAGTTATAACCTATTTAACTGTTAAAAATGTATTACGAAAAGTTATGAAAAAAGATCATCTTTGATAGGTTTATATTTTACATGAGCATTCTTATAGTTTACCCAAATACCACTGCCATCAGACCACATATATATTCAAAGTTTAAAATGTCAACTATGATAGGGCAGATGAGACAAACTAAAATTACTTTTCATTTCAATTATCAAAAACAATTAGATCTATTTCAAGAAAATATTTTGACTAAGCAACTTTACTTTTAATAGCTTTAATTTTAAGCATATTTAGGAACATATGTTCTTTCACAAAATAATCATTTTATTATTCCCATCTAAAGGATAATGAGTTTGCCTAATGTAATTCTTAAGTTTTAAAATTTAGCATAAGCAGCATTACAAATTTGGTCTGCAACTGTATTTGCAAGTAGTTTATTAGAAGCATTTAGAAGGCATGTTAAGGTCAGCAAAAATGTCTGTTTACACACCTAACAAGAGAAGTAGGTCAGAAGCTTCTATGACTTCACTAACCAATTTGTGACCTGTGAAAAATCAGCAAGAGGGAAATAAAAATGTAAACTTTAATAGGAATGATCAAACAAAGATGTCTGAGCTCTCAGACCTCTATCACAATAGTGTAATAATCGGGCAAATATGCCAGACTAATGTTAAAAATTCTTTTCATATGGTTCATCACATTAAATTTTGTTTTAAAATCATAGTATTGCCTCCAATGAACTATGAAAAGCAAATACATAGGAAGTCTCATCTACTTGTCAAAAACAAGATATTTATTCCTTCATTGACTAAATGCCAACACATTTTCTTGTAAGTTTCCACTGCCTTGGGCCAAGCACTGAATTATCATTTCACAGACTGGCTGAATGATGCACAGATTAAAACTTCTATGCAACAAAATGGCATGTTCATCATTTTTAAAAAATGTTTTTATTTGTACTAAATGTTTGATTTAAAAGATTAAATAGCAAATTTATATATGTATATATACACACATATTCACCCCCCCCTCACTGCATACTTCTGTGGCTCTTATATCTTTAAATTAGATCAAAGACGTCTCTCTATACCTGTGGTGAAAAAGTCTTTCAGTAAGCTGAGGCTTTCAACGATTTTGTCAAGGTCTGGTGCTAACTTTGCAAGGTCTTCTGAATTAGGAAGAGCTTTTTGAATTTTCTCTGTAGAAAAACAAAACATATAAACAGTCACAATTACTCTCAAAGTAAGAATATGTGTCAAATATTAATCTACGAGCTACCAAAGTATGAGCTTGCTTATACTTCACAGCAGCTCTACAAAGTATCTACGCCTGTCAATCATGTTTACAGATGAGGCAGGAAGTGAGGGAGTCAGGGAATTGGCACAGTCCAGCTGCAGAGAATAGATCTCAGCCACTGTACTAAGACCTTGGCAAACATTTCAAGGTAAAAAGTGTTCTTCATATATATTAGAAAAATAATGTCAAAGTGCACTTTTCCTAAAAATCCCTTTGTCAACATAACATTTGTCTTTCAGAAGTTCTGTAGGCCAGGTGGTGGGTAGTTCACTTATAATCCTAGCTACTCAGGAGGCTGAGATCTTAGGATCACAGTTTAAAACCAACCCAGGGAAAAAGACTGTGAGACTCTTATCTCCAATTAATCACCCAAAAAGCCAGAAGTGGAGTTGTGGCTCAAGTGGCAGAATGCTAGCCTTGAGCTGATAAAGCTAAGGGACAGTGTTCTGGCATTGAGTTCAAGCCCTAGGACCAGAACAACCACCCCCCCCCCCCGCCCCCCCCCCCCCAAAAAAAGTGCTGGAAGTAAGTATACATAGAGAGTAATTTTACCTTCATTAGATAGTGCTTTTACATCTGGACTGAGTAAATGACAAAAAATGCTTTTTAAAAGAAATACTACAATGAGTTCCTAGCGATCAGTTATCAAATATATTTTTTCCCTAATGATTTTTTGAAAAAGGGAGAGGGAAGTATCCCACTTAGGAGAAAAACCACTTTAGATACTAACAGATTTAAGAAACTGGGATACAAAAAGAAGTAATCAAAGTACCCAATCTACAGGGTACAGGTTAGGTGGATCAGGCCATACTGTATCATGCTGAAAGTGATGTCTAGAAAGGCTGAGTGCAGCACTGAAATCCTGACCAAATGCGCTAGGCGTTGGAAGACAAGACACCAAAACACATGTCTTGATGACTATACAACTTTTAAAAAAGAAACTGAAACAGAGCCACATACAAATAATGAGTACAACTAAAAGAAAACATTATGTAATTATGTAGCTATGTTAAAATGATAAGATTATTGGATATATTTTAATACAGATTTCTTTGATAGCCTACTACTTTGAGTGTTGAAACTTTTATTATACATTATGTTCAAAAAGTTAAGAAACAACCTCAATAGAACTATTTCAGTTTCCTAAAGAAATAACCTACAAATGAATTGAATGTTGATGATACAAACCAAAATCAATATACTCATCAATTTCCCACACAATGTCAGGTATAATCCATTTATAGTCACTAAGGTCTGGTATCATATCTCTCCACTGATCAAAAGTCTAAAAAGTAAGAAAAAATTTCAATCAGATACTGTGAATGTCTTAGAGATTTGTAAAAAGAAACAAACAAACAAAAACCTCTTATGTTAATTAAAATGTTAATCTATGAAAGTACAATATATCATATATGACTTGTAAAAAGAAAACAAAATTATGTGGCCTCAGTTCTTTTTCAAAAACAAATTCACAAGTAAGCATATAAAATACAGACATAGTCCTCTACTAAATATCAAATGTAAAAACTCCAATGTGCTCCTATTTCAAAGAGGTTTCATTTGGCATTAAACAGACCAGAGGACAGGAGATTCCTAAGACATAGCTTTGTTAGTATGCCATTTAATTTTCCTGTCTTTGCTATTAAATGGCAAAACTGAATTAAACCCCTGTGTTTTTCTGGCCCAAGTCTTTTTTCTAGGCAATTTTTATCTCCAATAATTATAACTAAAATTCAGAAGACATTTTCCTATTACTGCCATCACAACAATCTACTACATGGTAAATACATATAATAAATGTTTAAACATCCAATTATATTTTACTATGCTAAAGAAAAATTACCTGTGCTATAAAAATGATAAATAACCATGCTGGAATAACTGGAAAACAAATAAGGAAATTAAACTCACCTTTTTGGCTGTGTAGCCACCCCCAACAGCAGATCCCAGTATGAGATACCGAAGTCTTAAGAGTCGTGCTGCTAACCTAGCTGGCCAAAAATTCCTGCGAGGCTGGTAGCCATATTTAACTGGAGAAAGTTTCAATTTACGTAAAGGTAGGTTAGTTAAAGAAGAGAATTGCTGAAATGATGTTTTCACTTGGGGTCTTTGAAGCTTTAAGGTAGGACAATGTGAATGAGAAATACTTCGTGAAACCAGATGCAGTTTTTGGAGTGGTAAATTTCCTTTTGTCCCAGAGCTGTGTTTCACCAAGGACTGGCAAACCTCACTGAAAGAAAACAAGTATGGGAGAAAGATCAGACATGGTAACAATGCAAAGAAAATGTCAGTAGAAAGGGAAATGCACACATGCACATGTGACCTACCATGATCTATCACACCTTGTTTGTCATTACCCAGCTATTACACAGCAGGCATTGCTGCAGCTTGTGCTATCTCATTCAACTCTGTTAACAATGTGGTCAAGAACCTTGTAGTATCATCCTAATTTTACAGATAAAGAAAATGTTCCAAAAGGAAATGAACGCTGATGCAAGAAACAATGGTGCAATTCAAATTCAGGCAGGTGGACTTCAGACCTGGCACTAGAGGAACTCCAGGACAGAGGTCAGCCCTTCTGTTTTTATTTTTATTCTTCCCCTCTTTTGCTCCCAAATCCCTAAAGTTCTTTTCCCCCAATGGTGACATTAGCATTATAAGGCCAGGTGCTGGTGGTTTATTCCTGTAAGCCTAGCTACTCAGGAACCAGAGATCTGAGGATCCCATTCAAAGCTAAACTAGGCAGATAAATCAGAGAGATGCATATGTCCAGTTAACCAACAAAAAGCTAGAAGTAGAGGCCTAGTTCAAATGGTAGTGGAAAAGCCAACTGAGAGTGAACGTGAAGTCTTGAGTTCAAACTTCATTATCAGCACAAAAGAAAAAATTATGAGCAAGAGGCAGAGGCAGGGCATACGAGTCCAGTATTTTATGTCAGTAATTACAAGTAAAATGTCCTTTGTTCTTTCCATCTGTCACTAGGAAGAGGTAACTGAGGCTATGCAAATCCTAGCACCTAGAAATACTTCTACAATTTCCAATTCAAAAGATAAATGGTAGTACAAGGGGGGACTGTTTTATATAAGGTCCCCTTGAGATACAGTAAGAGAGTGAAAAGAGAAGTAATTGAGATTTACTAGAGCAACATTTAAGGAAATGGTGCTTGGGCCATCCTCCAGTTTTTCCAATATAGCTTTTATCTTAAGGGCAATAATTCTCTGTAGGTTGAGCAATTTGTCAGGAAAAAGCATGTATATGGGAGGGGCAGGGTGAACAGGTTTGGGACTACTAAGAGAGTATCCAACAATACTAGCATTTGTAAGGAGCTCATTTCCTAAAACAAAGCTTGCTAGTTGATATAATATGCCTAAAACACAGATTGCTCTATCAGAACTCTCAATCAGAGGTAACCTGAGCAAGGTACCTGCATCAATCATTAATCCTTTATACCCAGACTCTTGTAGAAGACCAGCAAGTCTTAAAATAAGGGCCAGAATAAAGAACATTATTAAGTCCTAGAAAAAAAGCAGACATTACATGTTCATTAGTATTGTTAGGAGAATTCCTTTAAGAATTTCAAACATTAAGAGCATATTATCTTCAAAAATATCAAAGAACAATACAAAGTGGGTGCAGTGGCTCATGCCTGCAATCCTAGCTATACAAGAGGTTGAGTTTGTAAGGATGGCACTTTGAGGCCAGCCTGGACAAAAAGTATGTGAGACTCCTACCTCAACCAATATATATATATATATATATATATATATATATATATATATATATATATATATATATGATCCTAGGAGGATCATGAAGATCATAGTTCCAGGTTATTCCTGGTGAACAAATTAACAAAGCCCCATCCCCCGAGAAAAAAAAGAAAAGAAAAAGAAAAAAATACAGTTTAAAGAATTACATGTTTTAAATAATATTTTCTAAAAGAGCTTGGTAAATATTAAAATGTAGTCCATGGAAACCAAAGTTGCTATATATCTTATACACACACACATTATCTATCTATCTGTCTGTCTGTCTGTCTGTCTGTCTATGAAATTCCCTAGAGTGTAGAATAAAGGAAACAAAAATAGGAAACACAAAAGAAAACCTAAGTGGTATGGAGTTGCAATATCCTAAGTGGGTAACAGGAGATGGGAGGGAAATGAAACCATGGGGTGAAGAAAATGATCCACAGGGATTAAGGAAGAAAACTCTTAAAGTTTGTAGACAGCATGTTTTGTATACTACTCTATAAGATTGCATTAGAGTAGACTCACATGTAGACAGCTTATTAGTGCAGAGGGACACAGGTATAATTTTAAAATAAATGCATACACATTTGGGATAAATGTATATGTATATATCTTGCTTATAGATGTATAAGTATAGTTTATACCTTCTGTATATTTTTGACATATGAAGGATATAGCTTGTATTTTGGAAATCACAGGTATGAAAGATCAAGCTAAGAGGATTATTATACACTGAAATGGTGTCCAAAATGAAAAAGAATGACAAAACAAAAGGAAAAAAATAAAGACACAAGAAAAAATTTTCAAAATGAAAGAAATGGAACTTATTAATAGAAAGGTCAGGTCAAAGGCTTGAAATGCAAAAACATCCACGAAGACAAAAACAAACTTTTAAATTCAAGCAAAAGTAAAAATCAAATGTGATGCAAAACTAGATCTCCCAGAAATCTAGTCTCTTGCTCCATCATTTCTTTTAGCCTGTATATAATTCTCCTATATGTAATTCTTTTTTAAATTAATTTTACATGAATATTTATTACATCCATATAGATGCCCCAGAACATATATTTATAAATGTATGTCAGAAATACTTATGCTCCCCTCTATTGAAGAGTAGGAACAACCTGTACTGCTTCATAACATGCAAAGAAATAATAGAAAAAGACAAATCCTGGAGCTTAGGGATGTTTACTTTCTCCATCTCATTTTATTCTAGTAGCTACATTGTGCTAGTAGCATGAAGTATTTCTAAGCCATGAGTCTGTGGAATGTGTAACTTCAGAAACAATTTAATCAAACATCATACAATTAAGCAAACAAATAAGGCAGTAAAAATTATGTCAGATTGGTTTTAAACCCAATTTTCAGAAGGTTTTCCCCGCACAACTTCATTGATCCAATAAGGCATGTATATTTTCTCCCTCATTTTCTTTTTTCTTTAATTTAAGGAACATTAGACGTTTCTTCTATTAAATATTAAGAAGTAAAAAATATATGTTACAAATAACCAGGACTGTCAATTTATACCCCAAATTAATACTCCATGAGATAAAAATAACTATATTGTACCTCACCCAGTTTGCTTGGAGACTCTAATTAACCTGCCCCCCCCCCCAAAAAAAAAATTCAACGGATTCCATTCCTCATAAAGACTCCAAATTATCTACACCACTTAAAAAGTTCTGGAGAAATTCAAGATCGATGTTTAGAGAGGGAGATGATTCTGGAAAATTAAGTCTTCCTGGTCTGCCTTGAGACTTTTTAACAAATGCCTGGGATTATGAGTAAGGCTTGGAAATTATCTAAGAACAAATGATGTCTAATGTCACATTTAATATTACTAACTATATATTAACTATATATATGTGACATTAGACATCATTTGTTCTAACCACTTTAGGTAATTTCCAAGCCTTACTCATAGTTATATAAGTACAGTATATATGGCAAGCCACGGAAACAAAACGGCTTCTAGGAGTTCAAAATCATAGATTAAGCCAAACCTGGGCAATAATGACAGTGTGACTGGAAAGGTGGTACCCATTCTCCACTATGTATCTAAAAAAGTAAATCTCCTTCCAAAAAACTTGAAAAGAACTGCTGTGAAGAGGGCACCCCCGAACGTTATCTCCGACAACGTGTGCGTCCAAGCTTAGACTCCACTCAGGAGTTAGGGAGACGCGCAGAGAGAGGCCCCCTTCTCCTGGCAGAGGAGCTCAAGGCGCCTGCAGGTGCAGTGTGCGTGCAGACGGCACGGAGGTGGAAGGAAGAGAACGGGTTAAAAGAGAACGCACTGGAGAACGGTACAAGGACAGAGCCGGTCCCGAAAGGCAGAGAGGAACAACGGCAGCAGCCAGAGGCAGAGTTAACGGCGGAGTCAAAAGGGGATGAAGGCCGGGGACACCAGGACAACAGACACGGGCCAAGAGCGGCGAACCGGACAGGGCCAGGGGCAAGGACCGGGACTGAATCCGGCTCTGCCCGGGAACAAAGCTCAGTCAGCTCTTCCTCCAGAGCATCCAGGAATTCTCCACCCGCCCTCGGTCGAGCCTCGGGGTTACCTGAACACCCCGCAAGCCATGCAGGGCGACGGGGTTCTCCCAGAAACCGGGAATCACGGGGCCGGGTGGGAGGCTGCACTTACCAGGCCACGGCGGCCCGACGTAGTCGCCACATCCCGCGGGAGGGGAGGTCACACAGGCGCCCAGACGGCCACGTGGGCGCCCCCGTGTCGGCCCCAGTCCCGCTTCGGCTCCAGGAATGACCCAGGAAGAGGCCCTCGGCAACAAGGGCACTCGGCAATCGCCGAGTCCCTCCCAATGGCTCATGGACTTCCGCGAAGGCCTCTCCGGCACCCGTACTCAGTCCGACACCGAAATAAGCACGCCACCCACGCTAGAGAGGCAGCACAAACGGTCCGCCCAGATCTGGCGCATGCGCCTAGAGCCTCTGGGCCGGCCAACTGCGCTGCGTTTCTCCCCGCCCACCCGACCTCGCCCCGCCCACTGTGCGATAGCCCCGCCTACCCTGTCCTCATTGTTTTCGGATTCGAATTCTGAATTCTGGCATCCTGAATTAAAGAAAGAACTGTGAGCTGTGCGCTGGTGGTTTCACGCCTGTAATACTAGCTACTCAAGAGTCTGAGAGCTGAGAAGGACCGTTCTAAGCCAATCTGGGCAGAAAAGTTTGAGACTTTATGTACAGTTAACCAGAAAAAGCAGGGCTGGAGTTGTGGCTCATGTGGTAGAGTGCACACACAGACACAGACAGACAGACAGACAGACACACACACACACACACACACACACGAGGAGGGCACAAGGGGAAAGGGAAGAGAGAGGAAAGGAGGAGATCTGAACTGGTAAGATGTTTGTACTGACAGAGCACAAAGGAGTCCACAGAACACAAAATGAATAGAAAATAGTCATTGAATAGAGTAATTAAATAAACAAAATGGTTATTCCTTTGCCCTACCACTTTTCATCTTTGTTGAAAATGACTTCATATCCTAGCAGCAAACATGGGAGGCAAGCGTGGAGTTATGGGTAGAATAGGTGTTTCTGAATCTCAGATCAAATCTGAAAGGGACTCAGGTAATTTAAACCAGCATTTGGTTTGGAATAAGCATGGGTAGTAGATGAAGGTATAAATGACTTGTTCACTCATTCTTTAGCCATCTTTCATGTGAATTTTAACCCAGTTTACTTGAAATGGTCCTTGTCAATGTCTCCTGCAATTCCATATTGCTAGTGATCAATGGCCCCTCGGTACTTTCAGGTAAACACTGATTCCTCCTTTCTGGCTTTCAGGGTTTTTTTTTTTTAGGACTTCACATTTCCTCTTTTCCCCCTTTAAGCACTGCTGTTACTTAGTTTCCTTTGCTGCCCACTTTTCTCCCAAATTAATCAATTTTGGGAATTCCTCGATCTTGGACACCCTGGATACATCCTGTTTTCTAGCTACAGTTGGTCCTTATGCAAGCCAGTTTCAAATCAAAGTTAGCTTTCTTCCTCCAATTCAGAGAAGGAAGATAGCCTGCAAAAAGTTATGAAACCAATTAATATTATAGTTGTTCTTAAAATTAAAATATGTGGTACTCCAGTTTTAGTTCAAGGATAATCCCTTTCCCTCATTCAGATTTACAAAAAATAAAATTTCTGTGGTGCCAAGAGGAATCATTTTTCTTGAGTTAAGTTTTGTTCCCTTCTCGCCTACATGTCTTTATTATATTCTTGCTTAACTCCTGAAGTATGCTAATTAAGTCTGTGCACAAGGGGGAAGGTTAGAGAAACAGAGCTGCTTTTTTTTTTTTTTGCTTTTTACTAAAGGGTACAACTTCTTTAGGGGGTATAAATCTTAAGGTGAATGATAGGTTGCTTATGTGCTTTTAATCAAGCTTCTCAGTATGCCATTTATCTGTAAATTTCTGACTACTGCTTCCTCATCCTTCATTTTCCTTGATGTATATTTTCCTTCTCTCAAAACTATGCTCAAGTACCTATTGACCACCAGTGTGTTTCCCACTTTCAATAACTATATGATATACAGTATTCAATACTACATAAAACAGACTTTGTGTCATATGACCTCGCCCAACCTTAAGGCTAATATATACATTGAATGGAGGCTGAGTAAGCTATGTTCTATGTATGAAATGTATTTTTGTATGATACTTTAAAATTATGATATTTTATTATGCTATAACCTATCATAAATTGAGAGGCCAGATGTATTGTGCTATATGGGAAGAAGAACAAACTGTTACATAATCAAACTGTTTCTATTGGCTCAAATTCAACCCACAAATTTGTTACGTTCAGCTACATTGTTGGGCCATACAAAGTTTAAAAAATAATACCAGAATGAAAGAATACAGGGTACTAATTTGTTTGCATGTATGAAAATGGGATAATCCGATCTGTTGAAAATATTTTGGTTTGTCCCTGTAATCCCAACTAATTAGGAAACTCAGCTCAAGGTTTGAATGAAGCAGAAAAATCTGAAACTTTTCTTTCCAGCTAACCAACAAAACAAGAAATGTAGGCGTGGCTTGAGTGCTAGGTGCCAGATTGAAAAGGAAAGCCAAGCCAAGGTGAGAGGCCCGAGTTCATGCCCCAGTACTAACACACAAAATATAAAAAAAAGGCCTAGTTAATAAATGGGCTAAAGACTTAAAGAGAGACTTCTCTGAAGAGGAAATAAGAATGGCCAATAGGTACATGAAGAAATGTTAAACTTCCCTAGCCATAAAAGAAATGCAAATCAAAACACATTAAGATTCCACCTCACCCCAGTTAGAATGGCAAAAATCAAGAACTCTAATAACAACAGATGCTGGAGGGGATGTGGCCAAAAGGGAACTCTACTGAATTGTTGGTGGGAGTGTAAACTTTTTCAACCACTTTGGAAAGCAGTATGGAGGTTCCTCAAAAGACTACACATAGAGCTCCCCTATGACCCCATACTAAAGCTACCAGAACAACTATGTTTATCACAGCATTATTTACCATAGCAAAGATACGGAACCAACACAGATGCCCCTCTGAAGATGATGAATCAAGAAAATGTGATATATATATATACATATATATATACATATATATATGTATATATATATACATATATATATATGTATATATATATACATATATATATGTATATGTATATACATATATATATGTATATCTATCTATATATATATATATAATGGAATTCTATGCCTCCATCAGAAAGAATGACATTGCCCCATTTGTTAGGAAATGGAAAGACTTGGAAAAGATTATATTAAGTGAAGTAAGCTAGGCCCAAAGAAACATAGGTCCCATGGTTTCCCTAATTTGCAATAACTAGTATATGTCTAGGATAAGCAGAAAAGCTCAAAAGCTATATTCATATGGCCATATAACCTGATGCTAAGCAAAATGAACCCCAAGATAAGGACACAAGTGGTTTTTTCTTTCTTGCGGTTGTTTTTAATGTATTTATAATGTACTATGTGATTTTTTGGTTTCTTTTGTATCTTCCCCCATGATATAACCCTTGTTTTCACTGTATTTGATTCCAGTGTCCTGCATTTTGTATATACATTTTTCTAATTTGGGAAGGGGAAGGGAAATAATAAAATGCTGAAATAAGGATACAGCTTGTCCCATTGTAACAAAGAGATGTCCAGGATACTAGGTTGAAAATGAACTTTACAACTTCGGGGTTGGGGGAAGGAAGGAACGGTAGGGGGAAAAAAGGAGGGGGTAACAATACTCTATAGGAAATGTACTCATTACCTAACTCATGCAACTGTAACTCCTCTGTACAACATCTTTACAAATCAAAATATATACTAAAAAAATAAGTGATATTGACCTAATTTTAAAAAAAAAGAAAAGAGAGAGAGAGGGAGGGGGACAGAGATATTGTTCTAGGAAGGGTAGTGAGAATGACGAGAGAGGATAGGAGGGTGCAATTGATATTTGTATGCATGTGTGGAAATGTTACAAGGATCCTCCCTTTGCACAATTACACTGTATGCTAATAAAAGTTAAAAATATTACCTGACTTGTTGCTGACATTTGAAAACCTGGAATTTTCACATTACAAATACGGTTTCTCAAAATCGATGCTTTCCTGAGGTCAGTGCTGGAATTCCTTGGGAAAGGAAAGGCTCTCACAGGCAGTAGAACCTCGAGCTCCGGAGTGGCAGCAGCTAGGGTTCCCAGAGAGGGGACCATTGGAGCTGGACGCAGTGGTGTTTTTGCTCTGATCACAGTTTCCCAGTTATGCAACAGAATCTGTCTCCACGGCAGAATCTCTGCCATCCAGGTTAAAGGGACCCACAAGACCGTCAGGTCCATACCCATGTCCTGAATCCTGGGGACCCCGCCCATCACAGAACCTTCCCTATGGTGAGATCAACCCCGCAAATCTGCGATTGTCTCCAGCTCCCACCCAATCCATAGGCCTCCTCAACCTGCTGCAACTGTTGCCCACCTGTGTGTTTTTCTTGTTGGTGGCCAACATGAACACTGGGACAGGCTCAATGGCTAACTGGTGGAAGTTGGCCTGCTGCTTCGGCGTCAACACGTCCTTCATCATCCTCATGGTGGAACTGGGTGGGTTCTAGATTCGATTCCGTCTTTCTTGGCACAACTTGCCCTCCACAGACGCCTGCCCCTTCTGCTTGTTCTCCACCTTCTACCCTACCATCTGCATGCAGTTCTTGTCTCCCAGTCACTGCCATTGCTGCCATTACCTCCTGTGTGATATGTGTGGCTTATGCTACCAGGTAAGGCCCAGTGAAATCACTGGCTTCATGGCCATAATATGGGGGCTATTCAAGGTGCTAGTGACCTTCATAGACGGTCTGTGTCATCTTTGGCTTCATGAACAACACAGCCAGGACTTGCCTCAGATAGCCCTGGAGTGGTGCAGGGCTTTGTGCTCCACCTTCTTCCTCCAGCTTTTCATGGACAGTCTGTTGAACTTGCAAACTGCACTAATATTTTGCCCTTCCCATTCCCCAGATTCCTGTCATCTTGGTCGGATTCTATCAGTGTCCTCTGGCCTTTCTACCAGTTCCGTGAGAAATATGGTAGACAGGCTCAGCCATAGGATGTGAACTGTGCTTACAGACATGGCCACTCCCTGTGTGACCACCAGCTGGCTGTAACCATCTCAACAGCCATCAAACTGCTGATGCATGTGGTGGGCCTGTGTGCCCTGCACAGTTGGTGTGTGTCAAGATCTGAGACTTCACGAGAGGCTTCTGTGTCTCTCTTGCCCACTTCCTCATTCTTCTCATAGTGATTTGACTCTGGAGTCTTTCCTTCCTGTTCTTCTCCCCCCATTCCCTCTTTCACT